GTGATTGACATAGTCTTCCAATATTGCAATGCTTTGTACAGGAGCAAAGAGATTTGCTTCAATTCCAAGTGATCAAAGAAAAATAAAGTTCAGGCTGAGTTTGTCCTTTTGGGGAAATGGCTAGGGAATGTGGGCTGTTAACATTGCCTAGAATGTAACAAATTTGCCTGGTGGGAGCAGGTGTAGTGTATTGAATATAAATGCCCCCCATAGACTAATGTGTTTGAAAGCTTGGCCCATGGATAGTGGAACTATTAGGGGGTCTTGATGGAAGAAGTGTGTCACTGTGGGGGAAGGCTTTGAGGTTTTGTGTGTTCAAGCTATGCCCAATGGCACACAGTCTCTTTCTGCTGCTTGTGATTCAAGATGCAGAACTCTCAGCTCCTTCTCCACTGCCATGTCTGCCTGCATGCTGCCATGCTTCTTGCCATTACCATGATGAATTAAATCTCTGAGACTGTGGGTTAGCCCCAATTAAATGTTTTCCTTTATCAGAGTTTCAGTGGTCATGGTGTCTCTTGATAGAAATAGAAACACAAACTAAGACAGAACTAGGTTCCAGGGACTGGGGTATTGCTGTGATAGGCCTGACTGTGCTTTCTTTTTGGAGAAATGTGGATTTTGAAACATTGAATTAGAAAAGCAGTGGAATGCTTTAAGCAAGGCTTAATTGGCCATACTGGTAAGAACATGGATGACTGTAATGCTAAGGGTGATTTAAACTGTAGGGTCCTGGCTCAAGAGGTTTCAGAGGTGAAGAATTTTAGTATGTGGCCTAAAGACTCTTTCTGTGATATTTGGCAAAGAATGTACCTGATTTTTGTCCTTGTCTGAAGCTGCCTGAGGCTAAAATGAAGCATTTTGGATTAACTGGATTAGCTAACAAAAATATCAAAACAGCTTAGTATTGCCTCGGTCATCTCACTGTTAGTGTTCACTCTAATGAAGGTTTATAAAGAAAATGAGCAAGCCGAGTAAGGAAAAATACAAAATGTAAAATTTGAGGAGAAAAGGAGCACCTGGAAGTGGAATGGAGTTAATTCATGTGTTCAACAAATTTAAAAAAAATGGAAAAAAGGGTGTGGTGACCTCAGGACAAGATCCTACCCAGCTAAATTTCCAACTTTTGAAAAGGAATTAAAGAAAAGTTTAGAGCTGGGAATGTTGTTGCAGGCCTTTAATCCCAGCACTCAGAAGGCAGAGGCTTGGTAAATCTCTAAGTTCAAGGTCAATGAGTTCTAGGACAGTCAAGCTTAGGTGCAAAGGAAGCCACCAAAGACAAAAAATTGGTGAAGATGTAATTGTATGAGGGGGCCATGTTCTAACCTCAGCAAGCAGCAGAACTCAGCAGCTTTGGCCATGTGTTTCTGGTTTTAGAAGTAAGGATACAAGAAAAGGGTTGTGGAATTCCCTCTGTGACTAAGGAGAGCCACTGAGGCCAGGAATGTGTCTGGGGTGTCCCTTCATGGAGGCCTAGAAAAGCCATTCTGTGAAGCTGTGAAGATGAAGCCTGGCTTGCTTTAGAGATCCCAAGATGCTAGAGATCCTGGAGTTGTGGATACCTGCCTAGGAAAGCAGCAAACAAGTGCAACCAGCCCATAAGAAGGAAGTGTGTTGCAGTCAACAGAGCTGAAAGGAGTGGAGATCTGAAGAGGATTTTGACATCTGACATGGAGATGGAGATGCAGAGTTTGGAGTTTACACAGCTGGTTTTTGGTCTTTCTTTGGTTCAGTATTTCCTCACTTGCTCCTTTCCTGCTGTGGGATGTTCTGTATGTTAAATGTGTTGCTCTGATTGGTTAATAAATAAAACCCTGATTGGCCGGTAGCCAGGCAGGAAGTATAGGCGGGACAAGGAGAGAAGAGATTTCCGGGAACAGGAAGGCTGAGTCAGAGAGACGCTGCCAGCCACTGCCATGAGAAGATGTTAAGATACTGGTAAGCCATGAGCCACGTGGCAACTTATAGATTAATATAAATGGGTTGATTTAAGATATAAGAACAGTTAGCAAGAAGCCTGCTACGGCCATACAGTTTATAAGTAATATAAGTCTCTGTGTGTTTACTTGGTTGAATTAGCAGCTGCAGGACTGGTGGATGAGAGAGATTTGTCCTAACCGTGGGCCAGGCAGGACTGGAGAAAACTCTAGCTACACTTTCCCTATGTTTTGGAATGTTAATGTGTAGATGTAACCGTCTTGTTGAATAAGAAATACAGAGCCAATGCAAATATGAAAGCCCAAGAGGTCAGAGCTAAGAGCTAAAAACCTTACCCATCACTGCTGCTGCTGTTCTCCTCAGCAAGAGCTACTTCCTGTCTGTCTGTTTTCTTATAGACTTTCTGTTCTGCCTTCTCATTGGTTGTAAACCCAACCACATGACCTCCTCATCACTGCCCCACTATACAGACCTCCAGGTCTTCTATGGTTGGTATTGAGATTAAAGGCATGTGTCTCCATGCTGGCTGTATCCTTGAACACACAGAGATCTGCCTAGCTGGGCCTCCCAAGTGCTGGGATTAAAGGCGTGCACCACCACCACCCAACTTCTGCTATGGCTTGCTATTAGCTCTGACCTCCAGGCAAATTTATTTATTAAAATACAAATAAAATCACATTTCAGTACAAATAAACTATCACCATATTAATGTATATCCTGTGCCATTATATATTGGAAATATGTGGATCTTCTTTTTGATTTTGATTTTACAAAGAATACAGTTAAGAAATTGAATGACTCTCATAAGAGACTTTGAGCTTTGCACTTTTACAGGATTGAGACTGTCATAGACTATGAAGACTTCTGAAGTTGCACTGAATGCATTTATACATTATGTTATGGTTAAACACCTATGGGGGCCAGAGAGGAGAATGTGGTGGTTTTAGTGGGAATGATCCCCATAGACTCATGTGTTCAAACGCTTGGCCAATAGGCTTTATTAGGAGGTGTGCCCTTGTTGGAGGAAGAGTGTCACTGTGGGAGTGAACTTTTAGACCTTATGTGCTCAAGCAATGCCCAGTGTGGCATATAGTCTCCTGCTGCCTGGAGGAGAATCAAGATGCAGAACTCTCAGCTCCTTCTACAGTACCATGCCAGCCTGTAGGGTGCCATGATTCTCACCAAGATAGAATGGACTAAACCTCTGAAACATATACCAGCCTTAATTAAACTTTTTTTCATTATAAGAGTTGTAGTGGTCATGGTGTCTCTTCACAGCAATAGAAGCTCAAACTAAGACAGTAGGAAACAAAGATACTCTTCTTGTTGGAGAGATTTGATGGGCACACTTGTCTTAAGGACAAGCAGTGCTCTTAAACACTGTTTTTAAACTATTCTTTAACTCTGTGCTTGGGAACTTTGAATACTTTGTTGTTGGTCTCCAGAATATGATCACCACAACAATAAGAACATAAAAGTTCAGAAACATAAAAAACTTACCTTAATTTTCCAAAAGTGGAAAACTTAAGTTTGAAGCTTTATGCGAAAGTTTTTAATTTCTTTAATTTCCCTTTAAAAAATAAATGTCACATGTTGGGAATTTTAGGTAATTCTAATGGAAAGGAATACTTGCATGGATGCTTATTATAAAGCAAACACGTTTCTTTTAATTTAGCTTTTCTATTTCCATTTAAATGAAATTCCACATTAAAAAGTGATTATCTAGGTCATAGAGAGTGTTGGTAAGATTGTACTATGGAATGTTCCCCTGGATATTAGGATCATAGCCCAGAGCCACTGTTCATCTCCTGTTGCTGTTGGGAATATGTGAGTGATACTCATCATCATCTCCCGGACATTTCGATGGATCATTAGGCAAATTTGTGTTGATTTATACTTGTTCAAAGGGTAGATTTTTGCAATATGAACCTTGTCTTTTAATATAATAAAATAGTATTTAAGTGTAGCTGTTACTTCCTAAGATGCCTACTTTCAAGCATTTGATGATTTGGTTTTATATACAATAGATTGTTTTTGAGTTTCCAATTTGAGGTGTATAATATAACATTCCTATTACTTATGCATGTTTGTACAAATATATAGACAGTAATAAAAACAGGTATCCAACAGATTATTAGTAATAGTAATCACCATTATAAGTGTATATTTCATCTAAAGTGTGTGTGTGTGTGTGTGTGTGTGTGTGTGTGTGTGTGTGTGTGTGAGAGAGAGAGAGAGAGAGAGAGAGAGAGAGAGAGAGAGAGAGAGAGAGAGAGAGAATGAAAATATGCCATAGGGAAAAAGGGAAATGGGAAAGTGAATGAGAAGCAAAGTTCAGCTAAACTGAAATATTGAAACCTGATAGTATAAGAATCATGAGCTGGTGTATATGACTGTTAAAACATGCTTCACGTGATTATTATTTGAAAAATTCATAACTGATTTAACAAACTTTTTGAAGTCATCATTTACTGTTTTTGAATTCATCATTTGCTAACACATACTTGGCTAACATTATGATGCATCACCATTTGTTTAGAATTGGAGAAAAACAAAACAGTATTCAACATCTTCACTGTCAACAGAAAGTGATGGCTCCTGCAGATCTGACAATACATTTAAAAGGTGTTTTTTAATTATTTATTTATTTTTTGCTTATTTACTTATGCTACTGGAAAGCTTCCTGCTTAGTTACTCTTGGAATAACATAAAACAACTCATACAGACCTGCCCATGCACACACCATCAGGTAGCACACAATCTTGCAAAAGAAGGGAACAAATTTACTTTGTTTTTCCCCTGTCAGTTGAACACTCTCTTAAAGTAAATTTGTTCCCTTCTTTTGCAAGATTGTGTAGCTAATTATGCAAATGCACAAACTCTTCCCCCTTGTTATAGGAAACATTTCTTGATAACCTAAAGGACTAATAATCTGACGTCTTTATTTCTCTCAATATAGCTTTCTGTGAACTATTCAGAATATGCTCTTTCTTGAATTTTATAGTGTGTTATTATTTCTAAAATGTTTATTTTTTTAAAGGAATTGTCATTTTATATTTTAGGAATACACCATAGATGTTTTCTTTCGACAAAAATGGAAAGATGAGCGTTTAAAATTTAAAGGTCCTATGAATATCCTTCGACTTAACAATTTAATGGCTAGCAAAATCTGGACTCCAGATACCTTCTTTCACAATGGGAAAAAGTCAGTGGCTCATAACATGACAATGCCCAACAAGCTGCTTCGAATCCAGGATGATGGAACACTGCTATACACCATGAGGTAAGTTGTTGTGATATGCTACAAACGACTTTGTGAAACTATGTATTCAACAGCTAGTTAGGGTATCCTTAAATAGTAGCACAAGTGTAACATTTTCCTAAAATTACTGAATATCTCATGTTTTGTTTTATAAAAGTTTGGACATGTAAGTAATTAAAATTAATTTAAGTTTTAAGCTCAAATTTCTCCTGGTTATTAAAATTGATATTTTTTATAATCTTCACATTGCACTTTAAATAAAAACACTTTATATATGACTAGAAATTTGTCTGTAGAAGCAGGTTAATTTACCTTTCCATATCCCATCTTGTGGCCTATCCAATTTTAAATGATTTTTAAGTACATATTTTTTATTAATATGTATGTAATGTTTTTTATAGATTAAAAGCAAGCCATAGTTTTTATGTATTAAGTAAATTGGTTAAATGAAACCATGTATTAGGCTTAACCATATAAAATTACTATTTTATGATTAAAAATAATTATGCAACATCAATTTCATGCAGTTCATCCCTTCTTGAAAATATAGAAATATGTGTTTAGTTGTTGATCATTATGATTATTTTGACATATATATTTCTGATGAATATTTTAAAATAAATAAGCTTATGACATGAAAACTAAAAATTATGAACCTACTAAAATGGTGTAGATTCTAAAGTTAATGCTTAATGAAGGATTTGAAGAACAAAATGCTGCTATTAGCACTATATGCACACAAACATCATGTTCCATGCATTTAATGTTTTATAACATTATATGACAAGTTAAGTACTAGATTTCAGCAATTAAAGCTGTTTAGGAATGATTTCTAGTGACCATTGCCTACAATGGGTGCACTGGGTTATTATTTCTCCTATTTTTGAATACTGCAATACTTAGATGTTACAGCCTTAATGATGTTATGTTTAGACTATTTTTTCCGAAGGATTAAGGTCCAGAGGTTATATAATGTTAAGGACGGTTACAGAGGGTTCTATTTAAATACTGTGTGACTTTCATGCCAGAGTTGGCTGATGACTACTTTTTTTTTCTCAGCTCAATTACAACAGACATTGTCGTTGAGTTCAATTTAGTTCTTATTTATTCACTTTGCTCTTATGTGAAATGGAAATAATTAGAAGTGTTGTTCATAACAGATTTTCTATGGATATGCTATGCTCTATATTATATTCAGATATAGAAAATATATTTTTAATATTCATAGACTTGTATCCATAATTTAGCCAGGAGTTACTGTGAACAATGTATTTTTGGTGATACATCTATCTATATTTACCTATATCTCAACACATATCTACCTATATAAGCATAAGATACTCATTCAAAAATGGCATGTCTTTAAGGAACCATATACTGAAGTATTACATCAGCTTTTCTCTATAGTTGATGATATAGTGAGAAAAAAGACATCCTTTCCATAACAGAGCTATCAGCATCTTCAGCTATTAAATATTGATAGTGATGTTAATGGCAAACCTTTTTTCAAATACATATATAATTTATTTTTATTGTTTTTAAACCTCTACAAACCTAATATAAAACTCCAATTTTATTAAAAACAGTAACAAGTGATTTGTCTTGACTAGCAAATCCACTTAAACCAAGAGTGGAATTTTGGCTTCTAGGCTTACAGTTCAAGCTGAATGTCCAATGCACTTGGAGGATTTTCCAATGGATGCACACTCATGCCCACTGAAATTTGGAAGCTGTAAGTATAAGGGAAAAAGTATGTTTAAATCAATAATGTCACCAGTAGTCAACATCTCTATTGGAGCATGCAGTTTCTTTCCATATTATTGGATGCTTAATAATTGATCAATATGATACACAAGTGAAAGACATGGTTAATGCCCTAAAGGAACTAATTGGAATGTCCTATGGCTCACTCAAGTATTTTCATCCATCTTTTTTTCAGTTCAAAACATGATTTCTTTTACTACTAATAAACTCTGTGTTTTAGTTTGTGCATAAAACTAAATAAGGACTGTTGTAGAGTTAGTATTATACTTTATTCATATTTTCTCCTGGTGCTACCATGTTAAAAATGTAAAATGGGTTATTTTTTTGTCATCTTAGAGTGAATTATATATGACAGATTCTACTCCTTGTTTCCTATTTGGCTGTTACAAAGGTCAGAGAAAGATATGAAGCCCTTGTAGTTGTCTGTCTACCATGGACCTGATGGGAGAAATTCTTTTTCTCCTCAAAATATATTTAATGAAGATGCCAACACTGGATGGTTACACTTCAGCATCTTCTGTGCACATAGAATATTTCTAAAAGTTTCTGTGCCTCTGGCCATTCTCTAGGTCACTGGGTTCTATCTTATATGTCAAGCAGAAGTATTCACACTATGGAATAATGGAAAGAGCAAAATAAGATCATCTTTCTGGGCCCACAGGACACTCCAGGCAGGTTCAGGATTAATTCAGCAGTGCAGCTGAGCAGTCTCCTTCTGTCTGAACATGCCTCCTTCCCTGACCTTTTTAGAAACTGTGCTCTTTCTGATATCCCATTTTTGTGCATTCTGAGCAGCTCTGGGCTTTGCTTTTACTTCTGTTAAATAGAAGTTTCCACTTCTAACCTGATTAAATGTATGACTGATTGGGTGAGTAAGAATGAATCTTCTCACAGACTACCAACTCAATGAAAATAGAATGGTCAGTGAGAGAATGTAGATTCCTCTATTGTTTTGAGGATGGCCGTTTTGTGGAGAGGTTCAAGCTTGTTTGCTTTGTATATCCTTGTACCAGGTGTCAGTTCTTAATTTTTTCTGAGAGCCTCCTCTGGGCTTAACCACAAGCCTTTCTTCATTGCCATGGGAACCATCACTTCAAAACTGGCATTTCTTCCAATATTATTTAAGATAGTCAGTCATGTTATACAACGTAAACACAGTGTTGAGAAAACCAGAACAGATGCAGCAGGGAGACTCATTTGCATTGCATAAGTGACATTAAAGACAAACTTGAAAAGCTTTGGCACCCAAAAGAATTTATGCAAGATGCAGTAATGATATGGGAAGGACAAGTGTTTTCAGTAGATGAGGTATTGTTACTATGACATCAGATGTCAATGGCAAGATGCCTCAATACTGAAAATGAGATAAATTTGCTTGGAATGGTTTTATTTCAAATTGAAAGCTTCACAGAGAGCAGCTACAAAGTAATGGGATGTGGGGTGCCTGAGATTATGATAGTTTACTCTATCCAGAATGCACATGGTCAACACTCTAAGTTTCTGTTCCTTATTCTTTTTCTATGTAATTATTACTTATTTTATTTTGCTTTCTTCACATTCATATTCTGACACACAGTACAAGCAGTTTATTCACTCTCTTATTTATCCTTGTGTATAGCAAGTGCTTGAGGCATCTGTGCTAGCAGTATGGACAGCAGTGTGACGGGAGAGAACAATCTTAGCATGCTGGCACAGACAAAGTTTGGCAGAAACAACCGTGACATTATCTTGTAGCTATTTCTTCCTCTCTTTTAGAAGTACCACTATTCTAAAATCATTGAATTTCTGGATCTTTACCATCCTCCTCAAATTAAACAAGCATCTTTTCTGTATTTGTGCAGTTTAAAATCCAATATTGTTTTTCTTGTATCACCTTACACCTATATATTTTTATTATTTCATTTGACTTGAAACTTCCTGAATGTAAGTATTGGAATATTCTGTACATGAGCCCCAAAGAAACTGAAAACTTACATTTTTAGGATAAAAGTTAATAGTTTAAAATGATCTAGGAATATATTTATTGATTCCTGAGTTTAAGCCAGTGAATATGCTTATGTATAATGCAGACTAGCATTCAAACATAGATTGCTTGAATAAATTAAATAAAATCACTCTGTGAAATCTTAGTTTCAAAGTGGGATTTATAAAAAAGTTGTAAAACAAACTGCCATCTCCTTTTAAAAACATGTTTTCTTTTCTATTATTTTTTTAATTATGTATATGTGTGTGTGTGTGTGTGTGTGTGTGTATGTTTGTATGGGGTAAGTGCACATGACTGCAGATGCTTACAGAAGACAAAAGCAGGCATCAGATCACCGGAAGATGGAGTTTCAGGAATTTGTGTGGGTCCTGAGAACCAAACTCTGATTTTCTGGAGGAGTAATACCTGCTCTTTACTGACCCATGTCTCCAGCCTATATTCTCTGTTTATACTTTACTAATCAACATAGTGATGGCCTCGTGGCTCACCTGTGGATTTGAGCATAAACGAGAGCCTCTGAGCTGCATTGGATTACATTCTGTTTCCTGTCCTCTTACTACTGTAAAAAATGTAAAAAACAAACTGTAGACTAGTTAATGAAATGCAGCAAATTCTTCTAATAGGCATATAAAGGATCAACCATTTTCTATAATGTGTTCACAGACTATTATCCGATATGCCTGTTGAATGTAATTTACACAGCTTAGTCATCAACCTAACAGGAACAAATTGAGAATACTAACAGAAATGAATCAGATAGCCTTTGTTCATCTGTATCTCATAGTTTTTAAAAGAATATCATCACTTTTTTTTTTTTTTTTTTTTTTTTTTTGGTTTTTCGAGACAGGGTTTCCCTGTGTAGCTTTGCGCCTTTCCTGGAACTTACTTGGTAGCCCAGGCTGGCCTCGAACTCACAGAGATCCACCTGGCTCTGCCTCCCGAGTGCTGGGATTAAAGGCGTGCGCCAGCACCGCCCGGCGAAGAATATCATCACTTTTATAGACTTTAATTTCTGTTAGTTATGTCTAATGATAATATGAAAATCCAAGCAATGTTGGTTTGATATTTGAAATTGTGCAGCATTGGAAATGCTCTTGTAGAAGGGACCATGATGTTTACTCATGAGGGAAACAAAACAAGCCACTTGATGAACTATAAATGAGTGCTTAGTTAACTACATTGCTAACTTATTACTTAATGTTTTCAGTGGCATCACAAGTGATTGTTTAATTGAAATTAGCTAATTGGCAATTTAGACTCTAGAAAAACTAGATTTCACATGTGAAAATATGTGAATATTTCTCTATGAAAGTATGTACACACATCTATAAATATATATGTATATCTATACCTGTTTTTAGAATCATATTTCAAGTATTGTTTAACATAACATAATTTATTTGAGGATGCATAAATCCATGTATAAATATAAGGAATATTTCACTGATATTAGTATTAGTAGCAACATTCAAAAAGCCAAAATTGAATGTCATTAAAAGATCATACAGCTAATGACAAGCATCTATATTAATATCCACGGGGTTGCACCTGATACTTGAATGGAAATCAAATTGTGTCACAGTCTTTAACTTAAGTTCAGTAGTAGGATCACTTTGGTACCATGAAACTATGTGCAAAAAATTTACAAAACAAAAGAAATATGATTTCAAGTCTCATGGGGGACCTGAAGGCAGATATATTGCTAGAAAAAAGGTGGTCCTGTTTTCTCCCTAGTTGAGAATGTCACCATCATGCTAAGCTTCATTTTCCATGCAGCCACATAAACAAACATACAAAGAAGTTCTCCAAAGGTTGACCATAGAGCAGGAATGATTCCTGTCCTATTTGTAGTTGTGAAGAGACTCTCTGCACAGGGCTGGGGACTCTCAGCTGTTATAAACCGCACACTTACAGGGTCAAAGGAAAGATCTGCATAGAGAATTGCTAATGCCTAAACTCCAGAGGAAGCTCATTTCTGATAAGTTCATCTTTGGTCAAATACATTTCCTTTTTCTGTTATCCTCAAATTAACTGGAATGCTATACAACTGTAGTCTATGATGTTGTTATTCATTAATTAATTTATAAATGAATGTGTTTGAAAAATGAATGTATAATGTGATGGAAGTATATAATCTTTTGCTTCATTTTTTATGTCAACTATTAGTTCTCTATCTAATTAAATGCTTTCATTCATGATAACTGAAGTCATTATCTTTTAACTAAATTATTTTAATATACAGAAAACAATGTATTCTGGATTATAATTTTAATTTCACTGGTGGTCACCATTTTAAAATAAACTGTGACTGTCTTCATTGCTTTTTCTCACAATGTCTTCCTCAATGACTTTGGTACTGAGGGAACATTATGATCATCTTGGGGACCAGTGATTTTTTACTGGCTCTAAAGAGGAATTTGATCACCACCTCTCAAAGTAGTACCAATGCAAACATTTCCATGTTCATGATTGGTTCTCCTGATTCTCTTCATCCCTATAATTTTAAAGTTACGAATTCAAAGTACATATTTTCCTCTAAATCTGTGATCATTCAATGCTCGTCTGTGAGTAAATAGTGATTCTATGAAGTCTACAACAGCAGATCTATCGTTCTGTTAGTGTTTCTTATTGAAATGTTCACGATATTTGTTTCTCGTTTCTGACAGATGCATACACAACATCAGAAGTCACTTATATTTGGACTTACAATGCTTCTGACTCTGTTCAGGTTGCTCCTGATGGGTCTAGGTTAAATCAATATGATTTGCTGGGCCAGTCAATTGGGAAGGAGACTATTAAATCCAGCACAGGTTAGTAACATTTTCTAAATAAATCTAATGTTCCTCCCAAATTAGTAGGTTAAAACAATTAAAAAGTAGGTCCGAAAATTTAAAACATTTTGCCCTTAAGCTCTATGGTCTAACACAACAGCACAAATTTCTTGGGAGCTTTTTGAGACATTCCTAACCTTAGATAACTCCTTTACTAAAACAGGTTCTGCAACAAGATTCCAAGGAGACTCATATGTGCATGCAACTTTCAGAAACCATGTTTTAAAACAAACTTACTACATACATCCTTAAAAATATTTATCTTCTCAGAGCAGTCAACTTTAGTATTTATCTTCAAAGTAGTGAAAACAATTTCCCAAGTTTTCTCATTTTTTTCTCCTATTGTGGATAAATTATGATTATTCAACCCTTGATTTCTGGGAAATTGCCACTGGCCAGCAGGGAAAGCTCCTCTCTTAGGCCGTCCTCAGTAAAGAAAAAAGGCAGCTGTGCAGACTAATTACCTTACATCTGGCAATAATCAAAACTGTGGGAGAAAAAAAAAAAAAAGGTAGGTGTGAGAATTAGACAAAACCTACAGAAGCAAATTATAGCCGGCGTATATAGAGAGAAAGTCAGAATTGGTGACAGAGTTCAAAGTGAAAAATCCAGGCCAAAAGAGCAGTGTCAGGGATAAGACCAGCTACCAGCGCTTTTGAGATCCAGGAAGGATGGAATGAAATCAATTCCTGCATCAGAATGAAGGTTGTACCAGTGGACATCAGGGACCCAAGCCAAGAAGATAATCCACTAGCAGAGTCTTTAGAATTCTGCTGGGGAGTGGGCATGAGCTAAAGAGAAAAATGAATACCACGTCATGGGGGCATTAGTAGTGTGGGGTTGTTGATGCTGTGTAATTCTTTTAAAAAATAATCTTGTTTTAATGAGATATTTCCAGTTTTCATGAAATGTATGTGATCATTTCTTTCCCTCTATTTTTTTTTAAGCAGGAACTACTCTTCTTCTAATCCTTTCCATTTCCAAATTGTTCTGACTATTGACAATTATAGTTTCTTAAGCTTCTTAAATTCTCCTTCCAGGTGAATATACTGTAATGACAGCTCATTTCCACTTGAAAAGAAAAATTGGGTATTTTGTGATTCAGACCTATCTGCCTTGCATCATGACTGTCATTCTCTCCCAAGTGTCGTTCTGGCTTAACAGAGAATCTGTGCCTGCAAGAACTGTGTTTGGTGAGTGAATGCCTCCAATATAGCACGTTTTGTTTCGCAGTGTGCTTCCCACAGTTTCTTTCTCTTGATGCTCATCATATCCATGCCTTGTGATGTGTAGTGCAGGGCATGTTGGTTCTAATTTATAAATGAGAAAACAGAGGTTCTGAACTGTAAACTATAATCAGTACCACACTATTATCAAGGACTTAAATTATCCAAATATCTTGTAACCACATTTAGTTTTTTTATTTTATTTTTATTTTTCTGTTTAATCACACTACTGCTTTTTAGCATTCATCTCTATGCTAACAGATGAAGACGTTTTTGAGATTTTAATTCAGAGTTGAAGAATATTATATCTAAAGGCTTTCCAAGACAAAAATAAAGGAATTGATCACAGAATCCTGGAAGGGTGAGGCACGATCTAATGTGGTTCTCTGGTGATCTCTGCCCTGGCCCGTACCAGCATCCCAAACCATGAGGTAGCAAAGAGAGAGAGCATGCATACATCCCAGGTCTTAAGGGCCCCTCCAGTGGCCATGCTCCATGGGCAAGTACCTCAAGGTCATAGCCAGGTGTAACAGCTACCTGCTACCTCACTAGGGGCTGTGCTAACTACCACACAGGTCATGGCTCAAACAGCCACCCGCTAAAAACGGATAATACTGAGCTAGACTTTCTTTACTTCCATAGGGACATTTGATTTTCTTAATTAAAAACAAGGAAAGGAATTTTCAAATTTAAAGTGGAGAATATCATGATTTTAGACTGTCTATATTTACTTTGGTTTTGTTTTGAAATGATGAAATGTATTCTATGTATTTTAGATGACAGAGAAAGTCATCCATTTAAGTAGTGTGTTTGATACCACCACCTCCTCTACTTTGTGACCTGTTCTGTTGTATAACTGAGACTTCCTTCAGTTACTTTAGGGCTGAGATTTAAGGCACACATTGCCAGACCCACTTAGAATTCAAGTTCTTAAAACAATGCAGGAGAATTTGACAACACATTTCTTACATAGAAAAGACTGAGCACATCCTATAAGAAATAGATTATCTTTGTGTCTTTGTGTTTGTGGTACTCTCGTTCACTTATCAAAGTGTTGTTGAGAACTTGTTTTCAGTATTGCACCAGGAACTGGACAAGCAAAACACACAGAATAGAGCTCCTGCATCCAGGTTGTTTGGTTAGTGGATGGAAGCAGACTAACTAAAGGATAATGGCAATGTGGAAGGAAGACTTTATTGCAGAGACACATCCATGATGATATAGAAACCAAAAGGTTCTTCTCTTAGTCAAAGCCAATGAATAAGATGGCAATTTAATATTTTAGATATGTCTTAAAAAACGAGTAGGGATGTCATAAGCAACAAGGATGGGCAAAATCATAGCCAGGGGGAATGGATTGTTCAGTAACGTTGAGGAATGAAAGGGCATGGCATGTCTGGTAATAACTGTTTTAGTGATGGGCAGTGGAGTTATAGATAGAGATATGGTTCAAGGCCTTGATGAAAAGGGGATTGAAGTTAATCTTAATAGAATGAAACTTCAGCTACAGAATAGGCAATTCTGTTCAGTGTTCTGATGTCATGACATTGGTAAATCCCTAAGCAAAAGGCTTGCTATTTAATATATACTATGTATTTTATTTTGATAACTACTTTGTTCAGTATTGACACATATAAAGCTATACATATTTAATGCATATAATCAAGAGAGTATATACATGAAAATGACATGGTCATTACTTTCCAGTTTTCTCTTATTCCTTTCCAATATTATGTGCATTGGGGACACTTAACATAAATCCCATTCTTTTGATATAATTTATTCGTATCACACAGCATTGTTAGTTACAGACATTATGCTGTGTGGTAGGTTTACTAAAATGTTTACTTTTTAAATTTATTCTTTTTATGATTAATATGATCCTATTTATATTTTAGAAAAATTTGGCACCAATTGTAGAAGCTGAAATATAGGAAAAATCCAGAGGCATTGAGCCAAGGTTAGAGAGACACTTAAGTAGTCCAATGGAATAAAATAATGTTATTAATAAAGGAGGTGTAGGCAATGGAAAAAATTAAAAGGTAGGGGAAAGACCCAGGAGTTTGGGTAGATATTCAACAAAACTATAGAAAAATAAAAAATTAAGATAATATTTAAGGTAACTTTTCTTTATTTATTTAGGTGAATAATGTTGTCATGTTGAATAACAAAACGAAAATGAACAGAATAGAAAAGTTAGGAAAATTTGTGAAGTTTAGGTTATGTAGATTTAGATTTTGAAGTTACTTGTAATATCAGGTTTCAGTCCAGTGGGTGAATGGGAGTAGTGTATAGAATATAAACAAATAATAAGGCCTGTTAATAAGCATGAGAATCACTGGATACCAGGTAATGGCATATATGGATCTAGAATTTACATAGCAGATAAATTAGTTGGGTGAATTTAGGGTCAGAAGAGAGAATCCTTATGAATTTTAAGTAGTGAGATTTAGAGAATTAAAATCTGAATAGAATGATTAGAAAATTAGGAAAAAATACAATTTCAATATCATATAAACAGGTACATAGAAAGCTAAACATATAATCTTCCACTGAAGTCCAGTCTCAGCTGTCATGGTAAATCATTTTTTCAAATTTATGGGACTGTTCTATAAAGATCTCAACAGACACAATATGCACTAGAAAAGGATGGAAGACCATTTTGTTCTGGCCAACTATTACTAGGCATAGACCATTCCCTAGAACGTGATTTTTTTGTTAAGGTGCCTTTTGTCTTTTTAGTCTTTCTTTCTTTCTTTCCTTCTTTCTTTCTTTCTTTCTTTCTTTCTTTCTTTCTTTCTTTCTTTCTTTCTTTCTTTCTTTCTCTCTCTCTTTCTTTCTCTGTCTCTGTCTCTCTGTCTCTGTCTCTTCTTTCTTCTTCATCCTTCCTTCCTTCCTTCCTTCCTTCCTTCCTTCCTTCCTTCCTTCCTTCCTTCCTTCCTTCCTTCCATTCTATCTTTCTTGTTTTTAGGATTTTTTGATCAATTTTAATTTTTGTTTGTTGTTTTCCTTTTTTAACAGAGAGATGAAGTTGGGAGAAAGGATGGGAAGGAGCATGAAGTTGAGTGGGCACTGAGGTGGGAAAGAGTTGGGAGAGTGGAAATAATATGATCAAGATATATTGTATGAAAATATTAAATAAAATTTAAAGAAAGAAAAGGGTAAGGGAAAGAGAATGGAGAAAAGAGTAAGTTGAGCAATTTTTGTTTTAAAATGTATACATATCTGTATAAAAATCTTTGAGGATGAAATTTAAATCAAGATTTATATACAAAATAAATGGGCTTAAAATTGTTAGCATGTGTTTATTTAATGTCAATGTTTTCTTTGTAGTAATAATACATGATATTAATTCTATTTAATTGCAAACCATTAAGTGGTTTACACGAAGTGGTTTACATGTTGGATATTTTCCAAACACATACTTTTCTCAGTATTTTTGTGCATAGTGTGTGAGAAAGTAAATTATATATAGTCTAGTAATGATTTGATGTGTCACTCATCAATAGTGCACTAAAGAGTTAAAAAAGGAGCAGACTTCTGCCTTTCTCTTCGGGTACTTTGTAAATGCCATAAATTACATATAATGGCACCAATCAGACTTCATTACACTTAACACTTATTTGGTCTTGAGCATGTCTCACTCATAATCTGGAATGTAGGTGCATATTGTTATTGCCATACAACTCAGAACTTATGTTCTACATGATAACGATTAAATGTGTACCAAATAAACTGGAGGTATTCACATGAACCACGACAATGGATAATTTCTCAGTATTAAACTCACTGCATATTTATACATAATTAGAATAAGGATATATTCTATTCTAAGCATCAGTACCTACTGTGAGCACAAAAAAGTGAAGCAAAGCCACACAAAATATTCATGTATAAAAGTTTAAATAGGGTGTTTTAAAAGTGGAGGTATGTTAAAATAGTTAAGAGAACATTTCAGAAATGGAAACAACATGAGTAAAGAAATGGGCAAAGATCCAGGAAATGATGTGAAATAGTGAAACATGCAGAATAGTAAAATGCACACTGGAAAGAGAGAAAATTCAGAAGAAATCACTACCCTACAGAAACAATTAGGAACTTTTGTCAAGTGCACATGGAATATTACCCAAGGTACATGATGTTTGGGGATACAAATCACTTCTCAACATGAATAAAGTGATTAAAATCATTACAAGTTCCTTCTTCAAAGTATAACAACCTGGCTCCTGCAGCCACTCAGACCCAAGTAAACACACAGAGACTTATTTTTTTTTTAATCACAACAATCAATTTTAATTCATGAAAATGTGATTTTTTTTCTTTTTTTTTTTAATTTATTTTAATTTATTTTGCAATACAATTCAGTTCTACATATCGGTCACGGATTCCCTTGTTCTCCCCCCTCCCGTCCCCCTCACCTTCCCCCCAACGCCCCCCCCCCCCATTCCCATCTCCTCCAGGGCAAAGCCTTCCCCACGGACTGAGGTCAACCTGGTAGACTCAGTCCAGGTAGGTCTAGTCCCCTCCTCCCAGGCCAAGCCAAACAATCCTGCATAGGCCCCAGGTTTCAAACAGCCAACTCATGCAATGAGCACAAGATCTGGTCCCACTGCCTGGATGCCTCCCAAACAGATCAAGCCAATCAACTGTCTCACCCATTCGGAGGGCCTGATCCAGTGTGGACCCCTCAGCCATTGGTTCATAGTTCATGTGTTTCCATTCATTTGGCTATTTGTCCCTGTGCTTTATCCAACCTTGGTCTCAACAATTCTCGCTCATATAAACCCTCCTCATTCTCGTTGATTGGACTCGCAGAGATCCACCCAGGGCCTAGTCATGGATCTCTGCATCCAGATCCCTCAGTAGTTGGATGAGGTTTCTAGCACAACAATTAGGGTGTTTGGCCATCCCATCACCAGAGTAGGTCAGTTCGGGCTGTCTCTCGACCATTGCCGGCAGTCTGTTGT